AGATAGCTGCTAGACTGGGTCTGTGGGGGGTGTGAGGGCATCAACAAAAGGGAAAAACAGACTTGACTCATTCTCACCAATCTGCCTGCTGCAGATGCATCTGTTCATGACAATATCAGTAGAAGTGAACACTGCACTAGCCTTGTGGAGACTTCATGCCGAGAATACCCTCCACTGTGTTATGTGGAACTGTCATGGTGTTAAATGGAACTTTTCCCCCTCCCCCAACTCTGCCATTACCATCAAGTCAGGTGATCAACCCCTGCAGGAGGACATGCCAGGAGCAGTACCAGACACACTTAAAAATGAGGTGTCAACCTGGTGAATTTACACAAAACTCCTTGTGTGTCAAACAACATAAACAGCAATGATAGAGCAAAGTGATGCCATACCATGAATCAGGTCTAAGCTCTGTACTCCTGCTACATCCAATTGTGACTGGTTGGACAATTTAAGCAACTCACTAGAGAAGGCTCCACATATATATCCCCATTCTTAATGATGGGAGAGTCCAACACATCCATGCAAAAGATAAGGCTGAAACATTTACAACAATCTTCAGCCAATTCAGTTCACTCCACATGATATCAAGTAATGGTTGGAGGCACTGGATACTGTAAAGGCCATGGGTCTTGACAACATTCTGGCAATACAAACTGCAGACTTTTGCTCCTGAACCTTTCAGGTTGCAACCCAAGTTCAGCTACAATACTGGCACCTACCCAACAATGTGGAAAATTGGCCCAGTACAAATCCAATCCAACCCGACCGATTACCACCCCATCAGTCTACTCGATCATTAGTCAAGTGATGGATGGTGTCACCGTCAGCAGTGCAAGTGAACGTCACTTACTCAGCAATAACCTGCTCAGTGACAACCAGTTTGGGTTCCGCCAGGGCCACTCAGTTCCTGACCTCATTACAGCCCTGGTTCAAACATGGACAAAAGAGCTGAATTCCAGAGGTAAGGTGAGAGGGACTGGCCTTGACATCAAGGCTGCATGTGACTAGTGTAGCATCAAGGAGCTCGAGCAAAACTGGAATCGGTGAGTATCAGGCAGCAAACTTTCCGGTGATTGGAGTCACTCCTGGCACGTAGGAAGATGGTTGTGGTTATTGGAGATCAGTCACCTCACTCCAGTACATCTCTGCAGGAGTTCCTCAGGATAGTGTCCTAGGCCCAACCATCTTCAGCTGCTTCATCAATGGCCTTCCCTCCATCATAAGGTCAGAAGTGGGGATGTTTGTTGATGATCACAATGTTCAGCGCCATTCATGTGTCCTCAGATACTGCATTTGGACATGGAATATGTCAGTAAGACCTGGACAATATCCAGGCTAGGGCTGAAAAGTGGCAATTAACATTTGTCCTACACAAGTGCCAGGCAATTTAACCATTGTCCCTTGACATTCAATGCTGTTACTTCACTGAATACTCAACTATCAACATTCTGGGGCTTACCATTGACCAGAAATGATACTGTACTAGCGATTTAAATACAGAGGCTACAACAGCAGGTCTGAGGCTTGGCACCCTGCAGACAGCAACTCACCTCCTGACTCCCAAAGCCTGTTTACTATCTACAAGGCACAAGTCAGGAGTGTGATGGAATACTGCCCACTTGCCTGGATGGGTGCAGCTCCAACAACATTCATGAAGCTTGACACTATCCAGGAAAAAGCAGCCTGCTTGATCAGCACTGTATCCACAAGCATCCACTCCCTCCACCACTGACGCTCAGTAGCAGCAGTGTATACTATCTACAAGATGCACTGCAGAAATTCACCAAAGATCCTCATACAGCACTTTCCAGACCCATGACAACTTCCATCTAGAAGGACTAAGGCAGCAGATGCATGGAAACATCACCCCTGCAAGTTCCCCTCCAAACCAAAGACATGGAAACACATCACCATTCCTTTGGTGTTGTTGGGTCAAAATCCTCTCCAGGGCAACTACTGACGGGCAATAAATGCTGGTCCAGCCAGTGACACCCACATCCCAAGACTGAACTTAAATTTAATTATCATTCAGTCGGCTGCCGTGGTGTAACTTGAACCTGTGTCCCCACAGAATTATCCTGGGTCCCTAGATCACAAGCCCAGTGACATTACCATAATGCCACTATCCCTCATGCTGGTCCATATTCTGTCTGTATGTCATTCCCCAGCCTCTGTTCCACTTCAAAATGATCCCGCAATGAATTTGACAGACACAGCGTACAGCCAAACAATTTTCGGAGTAAGAACAGTATACACCAACAGCTCCATTAAGGCTATTTCCATTATTGCTGACATAATGCCCTGTTCAAAAACTGCGATGTTAAAAATACACAATTAATAATTACAAAAATAAAGTGGTCACTGCAACATTTGATTCTGACCATGTTTTAACTTTTGAATGCAAGAGCTATCACTGGCAAATTGAATCAGGAATTCAGGAGAAATGTCTTTAGCCAGAGAGTAGAGAGAATGTGGAACCAGCTTTCACAGCCAGCAGCTGCAGTGAATCGAATTGATGCAGTTAAGGGCAACAACACGAGACAGAAAGGAATAGAAGGAGAGGCTGAACGAAGAGGAGGCTCTGCTGGAGACTTGATGTCATTCTACAAACATAATATATTAAAAATATACAACATCTATTTATTTGTCTGCTATATTTACTGTCTTTTTAATTCCAAACTAGTCACTAAAACTACAACCTATACATACTCAATTTTAAAAAATTCATTCATGAGATATGGGCCTTGCTGGCTAGGACAGCATTTATTGCCCAGAACATCAACCACATTGCTGTGGAACTGGAGTCAAGTGTATGCTACTAGACCAGGTAAGGACAGCAGTTTTCTTCCCTAAATAATCTGGATGGGTTTCTCCAACAATCGACAATAGTCTCATGGGCATTATTTGACTCTTAATTCAGATTAAGACTATTCAGATTCCACCTTCTGCCATTGCAGGATTCATACCCAGGTCCCCAGAACATAACTTGTCTTTGGATTAACGGTCTAACAATAATACCGCCAGGCCTGTTAGGAATCCTACAGTCCCACGTGGGCCAAAATCAGTCTTATGGGCAACTTTGTGAACCAGGCCCCAGTCATCTGCCCACCTTGTAGTTGATATGGGGCGTATCAAAACTATCCTGTGTGATAATGGATACCCTGATAAAATCATCACTTGCTGTACATCACAAAAACACATGAAAGATCTGAGCCTACCTCGGATTATCCTTATAGGGGAATGTGCCTCAAAAACAGGAGCGACATGGAAGCTAGCTGTCCCACATTGCTAGTGTACAGGAAATCCAGGAGTGGGTTTCTCCACTAACAGGATGCTGTTGTCAAGTGAAAAGGACATTTTGCCCACCGTGCAAATGAGCAATGTGATATGAGCACTTCAGCGCTGGTGTGATGTTAGGTATGTTATCTGTGTTTCCTAACAATTGGGCAGATCAAACCTAACAATATATCCTGTTGACCATTCACAGTGGGCTGCAGGCCACTCATGCTCAACCAGCCTGTGCTAAGCCTCAGAAAAGTATATCCACCATTCAATGTGATTGTGCTGTTAGGAATCATTCATTAAATAATCCAGACTGCGCTGAGTTACACCAGAAACCAGTTTAAGTTCATCAGCTGGGCCCACTATCTGATGCAGTGGTGTGTGCTGGAAGCTACATACATAAATACCCAGGACCCTGTTTTATGTGGGCCAAGGGAATTTGTACAAACATTGCACATTTTTTAAAAAAAAATGGGGTAATGGAGACAGCCAATCGCTGCTGTAATCCCATGGCAACACCCTGACCAATCAGAATCTACCTGCCTGGTCTGAGAATTAGGATTGACAGTTAACTGTTCTTGATGTTCCAACAAATCAACACCCTCTTTTTATTCTGTATAAAATGTCTATTATTTTCATGTCTGTTTCTTGCATCCTAGTTCTGATGAGTACAAGATGGAAAGCTTCATCTTAGAGTCTCCATTGCACAAGGTCAAAATTTGTACCACCAAGCATTTGCTTCTATCAAGCCTGTCTAACTTTCTAATCTGGTTTTCTCTGTCTCCTCTAGCCTTACCCAGGCCTGACAATGTTTTAAATTATTCTTGAACTACAGAGTCACTAGCTACCTAAAGGGCAAACTTATATTTCTATAGCACAACCTCAGGACATGGCAAGGTGCTTTACAAGCAAGGGAGTTTTTTTAAAAATGTGGTCCACTTATGAGGTAGGAAAGACAGCAGTGTACATACACAAAGCTCCCACAATAAAATAACCATACTGTTTATATAAATATGCAGGTGGCACAGTGGTTCACAGCACCAGGGACCCAGGTTCAATTCCAGCCTTAGGTGACTGTGTGGAGTTTGCACATTCTCCCCGTGTCTGCATGGGTTTCTTCCAGGTGCTCTGGTTTCCTCCCACAGTCCAAAGATGTGCAGGTTAGGTGGATTGGCCATGCTAAATTGCCCATAGTGTCCAGGGATGTGTAGGTTAGGTGCATTAGCCATGGGAAATGCAGGGGTAGGGTGAGGGTGGTGAATCTGGGTGGGATGCTCTTCAGTGAGTCAGTGTGGACTGAATGGCCTGTTCCCACACTGTCGGGTTTCTATGGAAATATAAACCATAACAACCAAGAAGTGTTGATTCAGGGATAAATTTTGGCTGTGACACTTGGGGGAAATACCTCTGCTCTTCTTCGAAACATCAGCCTGAGAGGGCAGGTATAGGTTCGGCTCAATGTCTCCTCCAAAAGAAGCTGCCTCCCACAGTGCAGCAGCTCCTCTGTTCCAGAACTATTTGTGTCATCTCGATCTTGTGCTTTAGTATCTGGAGTACAGATTGAACCTCCTTGGACCTTCTGACTCGATGGTAAATGCGAACAGAGACTGGCAAATTCATCAGTATCCATCCACTTGGTGCAATTTCACTGGTTAGATTTACCTTTATATTTAAACTCACTTTCACACTCCCAAATGTAAAATCTCCCATCAACCATCAGTGCACTAATAGATTGCAATCGTCAATTTATTTTTGAACTTTACATTTAAAAGGATTTCCTTTCATATCTGAGAGTGGTAACCTCATGCAGTTCTGTTAATCCAGTTGAAACGTCTCCCAGCATTTAAGCTCTGCCTTTTATGATTCTGGCCAGATTGTGTTGATATAACAAACAATAAACTCACATGAAAACTCATTCCCTTTCGACCCGCCATCTCCCCCAACACCCTCCATCCAGCTCCTCATATGTCTGGTGCTACACCAGTACCTTGGTTGCAGAGATCTCCGGTGTAACCATCTTCACACTCACACTTGGCTTCTCCCAGCTCAGAGATCTGACACTGACCGTGCTCACATTGCAACCTCTTGCAGGGGTTAAACAGCTCCTGTTGCTGGTTGCAGAGTGCTCCCTTGTGTCCCTTATCGCACTCACAGCGGTAAGTCACCCGGTCCAGTGCTACACAGCGTCCGTGCACGCACCTGCAACAAAAAATAGTGTAGAAAGAGCTTTACTCTATCTAGCCACATGCTGTCCCTGTCCTGGGAATGTTTGATGGGGACAGTGTAGGGGAGGCTTTACTCTGTATCACATCCGATGCTGTCCCTGTCCGCGGAATTTTTGATGGGGAAAGTGTAGAGAAAGCTTTACTTTTGATTTAAAAGAGTAGAGGCAGGTTTACTCTCGCCTCCTGTCCTAGGAGGTGAATTGAGAAATGTAAGTGGTGCAGGAATTGATCCTGTGTTTGTTTGATGTGGATTAGGAGCATGAAAAAATATTCAAAACTATGAAACAAGAAACTAATTGAGGCTTTATGGTAATAATCTCGCAAGCTGTCCAGCTTTGTTTCTGAAATTAGCCAATTCCACAAGCACTCTCATGTACCTGGACACCAGTGAATGGATACAGCCTGAAAGGCTGATCGACCTTGGGGTGAACTGTAGCTGAGTCTTACTTCGATCTTACTCTGAAGTGGTAAAATCTGGAGCTTTATCTCATTATTGCTCTCACTCTGAGCTGGTCTCTCTGAAGTTATTTATATGAGCTACACTTAAATTCAACTAATGTAGCAAACACAAACTTTCAAACTGAATTTCTTCTGGTCTGTGAGCCTCAGTGTCATGCAAGGCGGTGCTATTTGCAGAAGAGAAATTGAGGGGTGGGGTTGAACAGACAGAATCAGGGTTGGACTGGGAGGAACTGTGAAGGTTCATTATGAATGTACCTCTGCTGTATGACAGTCTTGGCAAAGACAAAGACTGACCTCTGGTGGAGAACATTAAAATGTCAACAACTTGAATCACCTTCGCAGAAAACTTCAAATTGCTGTCTCTAATCTTTGCTAAGTTTCGAAGAAATAAAGATTTTGGAGCGTCAGAAGACACTTTACGACAATGATGTATTCTGTGAAGTGTAGCCTATGTTGCAATGTAGGAAAATGCACCATCCAATCTGCAAAGATCCCACAAACCAAAAAAGGGCCAGATAATACTCCTCTACATCGGGGAAACCAAGCGGAGGCTTGGGGACCGCTTTGTGGAACACCTACACGCGGTTCGCCACAAACAACTGCACCTCCCAGTCGCGAACCATTTAAACCTCCTTCCCACTCCTTGGACGACATGTCCATCCTGGGCCTCCTGCAGTGCCACAACGATGCCACTCGAAGGTTGCAGGAACAGCATCTCATATTCCGCTTGGGAACCCTGCAGCCCAATGGTATCAATGTGGATTTCACAAGCTTCAAAATCTCCCCTCCCCCTACCGCATCCCAAAACCAGCCCAGCTTGTCCCCGCCTCCGTAACCTGTTCTCTCACCTGTCCACTCCTCACACCTCAAGCCTCACCCCCATCTCCGACCTACTAGCCTCATCCCGCCCCCTTGACCTGTCCATCCTCCTTCAACCGACCTATCCCCTCCTGAACTCCCCACCTACACTCACCTTTACTGGCTCCAACCCACCTCTTTGACCTGTCTGTCTCCTCTCCACCTATTTTCTCCTTTATCCATCTTCTATCCGCCTCCCCCTCTCTCCCTATTTATTTCAGAACCCCCTTCCCCTCCCCCATTTCTGAAGAAGGGTATAGAACCCAAAACATCAGCTTTCCTGCTCCTCTGATGCTGCTTGGCCTGCTGTGTTCATCCAGCTCTACACCTTGTTATCCCAGATAATATATGATTCTCTTTAATTGAGGGATGAATGCTGGCCAGGTTAGGATTGGGGAGAGCTTCCCTGCTGTTCTTCAAAAAAGTCGGTGGCACCTTCTACATGTACCTAAGGAGGCAGATAGGGTTTCGGATTAATGTCTCACCTGACAGTGTACTGCCCCCTCAATAGCGCATTAGAAGAACCAGCCTAGATTTTGTGCTCAATTCAATTTTTAGAATGCATGACCTGAAAGGGTCTCAGAAGCATGTTTAATAGTAACTTTCAAACAGGAGCTTGATTATTACCTGTGAAAGAAACTAAGTGAAGACCTATGGGGATAGAGGGAATAATTGGTTAGCACTTTTAAGGTTTAACCCTGATCAATGGGAGGGGATAATACCGCAGATGTCTGAATGTTTTGTCAAAGACGGATGGTCTTATACAAGGAGTGAGAGATGGAGAAATTTTGCTTTGGAATTTCCAGAGTTCAGGCCCAGGCAGTTCAAGGCACAGGCACCAACAATGAAGTGATTAAAATCTGGAATGTTAAGAAGCCAGAATTGGATAAGCAAAGATAACTTGAGATATTTGGAGAGGATTACAGAGATGCATAGGACGAGAGATTTAAAATAAAGATGCTCCTTAATGGGATAGGTCAGAAAGCACAGGGATGGGATAATAAGTGAACAAGCTTTGGTGAGAGTTGAGACACGGATCATATCTTATGACTTACTTGTGTCCCAGGCATGGATCACCAAGTGGCTGGTCGCAGCGAGGTCCCAGCCAGCCCGGCTCACAGTGGCAGACAGGGTCTGACTCTGCCCGAGGCTGGCAGATACCATGGAGGCAGACGATCTTCCTGCAGGGCTCACAGCCTGGCACCACGCCAGCCTTCATCTGGGTCTTGGTGAAATCCTGGAGCTCGTTGTTGATGTAGAGGTTCTGAATACACCCATGGAAGCTGGATCCATTCTGGATCTGCCAGAGCCGGAATGCTGCAGAATTCACATCGATGGGCATCCCTGGGCACAGGAATGTAAATGCAACTGTCATGAATGGACACACAGAGAGCTGAAATGAATCTGCACCAACACATCAAGAAACACATCATATTCTTGTAGATGCTGATATTGAGAGGCTGTTTCCCCGAGCTGGAGAGTTTAGAACCCATTTTCAATCTTCAGATTGAGGTAAGGAGAAACTTCTTCACTCAGAAGGTTGTGAAACTTTAGAATTCTCAACCCTAGAGAGCTGTGGATCTTTGAGAGTTAAGACTGGCTTTAATAGATTTTTTTTAATATCAGCGTTCTATTCAATCCTGAGGTCTGAATTAAGGGGTTGTTGTGGTGTATTAATGGAATCAAGAGTGTGTGAGGGAAAGGCAGGAGAGTGGAGTTGAGGATTATCAGATCAGACATTAACACATTGGATGATGGACCAGACTTGATGGGCTGAATGGCCTACTTCTGTTCCTACATCTTATGGTCTAAAGTGTGAATGTTTGGAGACAGAGTTTCCACTTTGCATGCCTCTGTAACTGACAGCCTCCGCAATGCTTTGAGAATCACTCACCGTGCCTACCATAAAACCTCCACTGCCCAGCCCCTCCATAAGCAAATCCCAGCCTCAGGGCAGTTTCTTCCAGATTTATATTGGGGTTAAGAATCCAGGGGGATGTGGATAATCAGTGGAGTACGGATCTGTGTTAAATGCCAGCCATGATCCTAATGAATGGCATTGCACAGTTGAGGGGTTGAATAGCCTACTGCCACTCACAGTTCTTACGTTGTAAGCAGAAGTTTCCCCACAAACTCAGTGAATATATAAATGTCCAGTTTCAAGTTAGTCCCCCAGCATATTTTACAATCTGCTTGGAACATGAAGAGAAGACCATTCAGCCCCTTGAGCCTATTCTACTGTTCAATGAGGTTACTTTACTCATCTGTACTTTTCACCATGTTATAATCCCTTCAGGTCCATCGCGATGCCTTGCCCCTCCACAATAATCAATGAAAGCCCCTTGTTGATAAAGAGGAAAGCTGAACCTTCAAGGGGAATAGGAATGGCCAAAATATACCAGGCCTTGGCAGCAACATCTACATCGTAAGAATGAATGAAGTCAGCCATATCAGGTTTGTTGCCATGGGTATATTTTAAGAGGTTTGGGTGGTTCCTGATGACAGGAACTCAGAGAGTGTTGAAGGATGAGGAGTGCGTCAGACTGGCACAGCTGCTCCCATCTTACCTCCAATGTAAAGTGGTGTCTCACGGTTGAGTGTTGACTGTTTGACAGAACTCTCCATGCTCTTGGGGGTTCCACCATCAATGGAGAGGTTTACCATCTGGTCCAAGGTCACAATCTCGACTGTATGGAAATGTCCATCATTGATCGTCTCCAGGCTGCAGAATGTAGGATGCACAAAAACACAAGATGTAGTGGCTCACAGAATCTTCCCCGGCATGCCATTCAATAACTAGTGGCCATGCACTTTAACGATACTGAGCAAATCAAAGGGTTAAATATGGCTCATGGAGCAGTACTTGCTTCAGAGACAGGTGATTGTGAATTCTGTCACATCCTCACTGGGAAACAAGCCCCACTATTCTGAAGTCATCACAAAAGTTAAAGATTAATAAAAGTACACATCATTCTCCAATGTACCTGTCCTTTAGGACCAGGTTGCCAGAAAGCATGGAGCATGGTTTCTGTGCTTATTAAGGATTACTATTTAATTATAAATAAATAGATTCTAGCTACAGATAAACAATTATGAACTGCTGACATATAAGTGTGTCCCTTACAAACTGAACCCGGAACACACACATATAAACAGACACAAAAACATTGGTGTTATGGGTGGAGGAGAAGACCAGGAAGGCAGTTCAATGGTCACTGTCCACAAGGTTCCCTGAGATGGTCCTTTTGGTTTGTCATGACGTACTGCACCTCAAGGGTCGTGTAACCTGTGCATTAAAATGTACAGCATTCCCTTCTATTATACTTGTTCTTTTCTCATTTCAGTCCACAATCAAAAATACGGAAAAATAAAGATTATGGACTTTATAGTTAAGCCCCACTCCATTGTTTGGGGACAGAAATCCTGGCTGATGCTCTTATAGGTGTTTTGCAAAGATCTGTCAGTTGTGAACACACCCTCCTTGGCCAACAATTCCTGCAGTGGGATTCTAATGTGGAGCTTCTGAATGGGAGGGTCAACACCCAGTGTTCCACTAGAACACCATCCTCCTGCTATCATCCCAAAAACAATGTTTGTGGGCATTACCTGATTGCTGTTTGTGCAAGCTTGCTGTGTATAAACTGGCTGCCACGTTTTCTACATTACATCAGTGTGTACACTCCAGAAAGCACTTGGCCTGTGAGGCATGTTGACACAGTCTGGAGATGTGAAAGCTGCTATACGAATGCAAGGAGCTGCATGTTAAAGTGAGGTTCCATGTGCCCTCTCAGTCTTTGCCAGCTACCACCATTACGAGGGAGACAATGGCATCGTGCCAGGGTCATTGTCTGTATAGTCCTGAGGCCCATGCGAATGCTGTAGACACGGGCTCAAATCCCACCATGGCAGCTGGTGGAACTATAGAGTCATACAGTAGGGAAACAGACCATTTGGTCCAACCACTCCACACCGACCATAACCTCAAACTAAACTAGTCCCACCTGCCTGCACTTGGCCCATATCCCTCCTAACATTTCTTACCCATGTAATTATCTAAATGTCTTTTAAATGTTTTAACGGTATCCATATCCACCACTTCCTCTGGAAGTTCATTCTACACACAAACCACTCTGTGAGTAAAAAGTTTGCCCCTCGTGTCTTTTTTAAATCTCAATCCTCTCACCTTAAAACTATGCCCCCTAGTCTTGAAATCCCTCAATTTAGGGAAAAAGACACCTGTCATTTACCTTATCTATACCCTTCATGATTGTATAAACCTCATGTAAAAACCTAAAACCTCATAGAAAAACCTCTAAAAACCTCTATAAACCTCAACCTCCTACATTCCAGTACATCTGCAATCTGAGGGACAGTGACTATAAGACCATAAGACATAGAAGCAGAAATTAGGCCATCCAGCCCATCGAGTCTGCTCCACCATTCAATTATGGCTGATAAGTTCCTCAACCCCATTCTCCCGCTTTCTCCCCATAACCCTTGATCCCCTTGATAATCAAGAACCAATCTATCTCAGTCTTAAATGTACTCAATGACCTGGCCTCCATAGCCTTCTGTGGCAGTGAATTCCATAGATTCACCACTCTCTGGCTGAAGAAGTTTCTCCTTTTTCCGTTCTAAAAGGACTCACCGTTACTCTAAGGCTGTGCCCTTTGGTCCTAGTATCTCCTACCAATGGAAGCGTTTTTCCAACATCCACTCTGTCCACGCCATTCAGTATTCTGTAAGTTTCAATCAGATCCCCCCTCATCCTTCTAATCTCCAATGAGTATAGTCCCAGAGTCCTCAAACGTTCCTCATACGTTAAGCTTCTCATTCCTGGGACCATTCTCGTGAACCTTCTCTGAACCCACTCCAGGGCCAGTACATCCTTCCTGAGATATGGGACCCAAAACTGCACACAATACTCCAAATGTGGCCTGACCAGAGCCTCATAAAGCCTCAGTAGTACATCCCTGCTTTTATATTCAAATCCTCTCAAAATAAATGCCAAAATGGGACTACAAGCCCATCCGTAAGAACATAAGGAGTAGGCCATCCATCTCCTCAAGCTGGTCCCACCATCAAACAAGTTCATGGCTGATCTGCCTCAAACCTCAACTCCTCACTTGTCCAGCTCAGCACAGGCCTCACCTCCCCAATATTTCAAAAACTGATCTCCCTCCTGTTTAATAACTTTCCATGATCGAGCCCCTACTTCTCTGTGTGGTAAGAGAGTTACACATATTCAATATTGTCTAGAATAAGAAAGTCCTTTACATCTCAATTTTAAATGAGTGTCCCCCTACTCTGTAACTTTGTCCCCTAGTTTGAGATTGCCCCACTGGTGGAAATCTCTTCTCAATATCTACCCCATCAAGCCGTCTCAGAATTGTGTATGTTCCCTTTAGGAAAGGAAACCTACCAGCAACATTCCCTGTACTTTTCCTACTGGCTGCAAAGCCCATGCATGGCAGAGACTTGTGGAACCAGTCTGCCAGCCTTCCTTGGTCTGGCCTACATGTGATTCCAGACCCACATCAATGTGGATGACTCTATTTTTAAAAAAATTCCATGGGGATGTAGACTTTAGTAAGCATTTGTTGCCCATTCCTAGTTTCCCAGAGGGCTGGCTAAGAGTCAACCACATTGCTGTAGGTCTGGAGTCACATGTAGGCCAGACCAGGTAATGGCAGCAGATTGCTTTCCCCAAAGGACAGTAATGAACCAGGGGGGTTTAATACAATGACAACATGGTCACTATTAGGTGAGCTTTTAAATTCTAGATTTGCTTTTACTGAATTCAAATTTTACCATTTGCCATGGGACCCCTGACCTCAGAACATTAGCCTCGGTATCTGGATTACTGGTCCAGTGACGTTATCACTACACCACCAATATCCCCTTTCTGTGGTTCAAACCCAATAGAGATTAGCAACCAATGCTAATGGTGCCCACATCCCATGAAAGAATAAAATATGTACCCAACACCGGGAATCTGTAAAGGAGTATCTTCCAGAAGGCACAGTTAGCCAATGCGGAACTGTGATGCCTCCTATGGCCCACCGGCTTTCACTAAATAGATATTAGGACAAGGTACGGTATGGGAAACGAGCGGGAGAGAGTGGGGATGAGAGGGGAGGAATTGGTGGGGAAGAAACAAACAGATTGAATGATACCTGTTGAGGAGAAGTTAATCTCTGCCCTGTCCGACATTACCTGTAGATGGCAGAGCTCGGGTAGCTGCCAGGGTCATAGCTGACCCGCACGTGACCCTGGTAAAGTTCAACTGCGATGTGGTCATTGTCTCCGTTGTAGAGGAGGATCCCGTTATCTTCTGCAGTCGAGACCTGAAGAAGCCAGTGTCACCTTCACATTAATAACAATCTTATGTAGGACATTCACAGACTGTTGGCCTGTGTCAATGTAAGAAAGGGCAGCAGGCAGAGGCCATTCAGCCCCTCGGGCCTGCTCCACACTTCAACAAGACTGGAAACTCCATCATCCCCATTACTCTTAGTATCTAAATATCTGCCCTCAACGATGCAGACTCCGTAACCCTGCATGGTGCAGAATTCCAAAGATTCAAAACCCTTTAAAGAAGGCGGCATGGTGGCTCAGTGATTAACACTGCTGCCTCACAGAGCCAGAAGCCTGGGTTCAATTCCAGCCTCGGGCAACTGTCTGTGTGGAGTTTGCACGTTCTCCCCGTGTCTGTGTGGGTTTCCTCTGGGTGCTCCAGTTTCCTCCCACAGACCAAAGTCGTGCAGGTTAAGTGGATTGGTCATGCTAAATTACCCGTAGGGGTCAGGGATGTGTAGAGTAGAGGGAATGGGTCTGGATGGGATGCTCTGAGGGTCAGTGTAGACTTGTTGGGCCGAAGGACCTGTTTCTGCACTGTAGCGGGTCTATGAAATGTCTTAGTCCTAAATGATTGGCCCCTGTCCTGAGGTGCTGTGCCTCACTCATGTGTTCTAGGTTCCCCTGACAAGTCTTTTAAGAATTTCATACGTTTTAATGCACTCGCTCCTGTCCCCAGACTGACCTGCAGTGAGATGTTTGCACGGGGCCAGTTCTTGAGCTCGGTGAACTGGAGGTAGGAGTCCCGATCCACAAAGTTGACGCTGACCAGCTTGTCGCAGCGTGACCCTCCAAAGCCAGGGAGGCACTGGCACAGGGTGTGGGCACCAATGTTCACACACACCCCACCATTGAGACAATCTTGCAGCTGACATTGGACGGAGTCTGAGGAAGCCTGGGAGGGGAGCTCACAGAAACGGCCACTGGGTGGAGATAAAGAGACACAGACAGAAATAGAGGGCACTGTACAGACCAGAGCTGATTTAAAAAAAAAGCATAACATTGCTACAAGCTGCTCATAGCCTTTGCTCAAATATTACCATTTAACTTCTGCTTGCTGAGACATTGCCTCATAGACCCTCTCATAGCTCCCGCAGTGTTCTTTTGTGAGGTGTGAGCCTTAATGTTGATTAATTTCTTAAACATTTCACAAGATTTCTCATCCTTGAGCACAAATCTCCGAATTGAGTCATGTTCTAAAACTGACCTCTGCTGCTCTGTAATCTATCTTACACCAAATCCCCTTTCACCTCACTCGCCTGTGCTCACTGGTCTTCAATAGCATCCCGCAGTCAAAGATGTTAAAATTCTCATCCTCGTTTTCAAATTCTTCCATGCTGTCACTCCTTTCTATCTCCCTGATCTCCTCCAGACCCACACCCCTCTGGTAAATGTGTTCTCCTCTAATGCCGGCCTTGTTGTGAAACGTCTGATTTAATCGCTTCGGCATTCCCTCCCTAAATCTCCGCACTTTGCTCTCTCTGCTCTTCAAGATGCTTCTTAAAAACCTTCCTCTCTGACCAAGCTTTTCGTCACCTGCCCAAATGTCTCCTTCTGTGACTCGGAGTCAAATATCATTTGATAATCATGACCTGTGAACCTCCCCAGGACGTTTTATTACAACGAAGGCACTGCAATTTATTACAGTTGTTGATGAATCAAGCCTTGTTCTGTTATACATCTCTGAAATCAGTTTTATTGATCCACAAGTTTTGCTGCCAAGCCCAACATTCCTTCTTTTTCTCATTCATTTGTGGGATGTGGGCATCGCTGGTTTTTATTACCCATCCCTAATTGCACTCGAGAAGATGGTGGTGAGCTGCAGTCCATGCGCTGTGTGTTGACCCACAATGACCTTATGGAGGGAATTCCAGGATTTTGACCCAACGACACTGAAGGAACAGCGATATATTTCCAAGTCAGGATGGTGAGTGGCTTGGAGGGGAATTTGTAGGTGGCGGTGTTTGCACGTATCTGCTGCCCACGTAGGAGTGATTGTGAGTTATTGCCTTGGCTTAATTGCCCTTTTGAAGGTAATGGTGAGTCACCTTCTTAGACACAACTGAGCAACTTACTCGGGCCATTTCAGAGGGCAATTAAGATTTAGCACTTTGCCGTGTGTCTGGAATCACATGTAGGCCAGACCAGGTAAGGACAGCAGATTTCCTTCCCTGAAATCTGGGGAGGGGTATAAATCTTTGGCTTGTTTGACATGTGTGGCTCTTGACAGTGAGTGGAGTTGGCTATTCCTCTGCGGGAGGAATCACCCAAAATGCACACTGAGGCGGATCCTGAGAACAGTGGTCAGAAACGGGATGCCTGACTACTGAGCCCCTCTCAGGGTGATGTCCAGTGTCAGCTGATCTATCAAAGGCAGGTCACTGTAATTTCTTTCTTCAATAATATCTCTACCGTCATTCTTGCTTGGAGTGTCTTTAAAGATATGGCTCTGACATGGGCAACACTGTGACCCCATGCAAAAGACCCCAGAGATATACTCAAATAAATTCAAGGACAATTCTCCTTGGTGCCCTGGACAATATTTATATCAGCCACATCAGTTAAAAAAAAAGTCAACTCATCATTTTATTCTCTATGTTTGTGGAAGCTTGCTGTGCACAAATTAACTGCTGTGTTGCCTAGTTACGATAGCGGCTGCACTCCAAAAAGTGTCTCATTAAGCTGCAAAGTGGTTGGGGACGTCCTGCAATTGTAAAGGACACTGTATACCAGGAACCTGAATCCTTTGTCTATTGTCCAGTAACGGGCTGGATGCTACATGACTCGGAAGTTGTAACACACCCTTATCACTCACCTGTAACCTTCCGAGCACAAACAGGTATAACCATTGATTCCATCGATGCAGACACTGTTTCCCTGACACTTGTGCTCCTGGCAGTTGTCAACGGCAACGCTGCAGTTATCTCTGACAGATCCAGAATTACATTCGCATCTGTAAAACACAGAACCAGAGGAGTTAGGATTGAGATGGTCAGGCACCTAGTGACACAGTCCAATCCCATCCCTACAAATTCCTACCCATTGAATACATCAAACACACCCAGGACAAAGGCAGTACAGAGTTAGATATAGAGTAAAGCTCTCCCTACACCGTCCACGTCACACACTCCCAAGACAGGGACAGTATTGGGTTAGATACAAAATAAAGCTTCCTCTACGCTGACCCCATAAAACACTCCCAGGGCAGGTATAGCATGGACTTAGATACAGAGTGAAGCTCTCTACATACTGTCCCCATCAAACACTCCCAGGACAGGGACAGCACTGTGTTAGATACAGAATAAGGTTCCACCTACATTGTCCCCATCAAATACTCCCAAGATGGGGAGAGCAAGGGGTTAGAAACAGAGTGAAACTTCTTTGCTTTCAGGGCATTTAATGAAACCTTCTGCATCCACCCAGTATC